AAAACTACAGAATCAAATACTGTATCCATCGTGAGGTAATCATCAAAACTAATCTGTAGCATATATTACAAATGATTTTCCATTAAAGAAGAAAATCAATGTTGGAAACAATTCGATTTAATTATTACAGTTAAATATTTTTTTAAAATTTATTCCATTTAAGAAAATTCTAGCTGTAAATTTAGATTTATCCGTCATCAATACAATAATTACTCAATGATAACTACATAAGCAACAGTAATAATCACTACACAACAATTCTAAAATGCTTCATATTTCAAAAGGAATAAATGCAGCGTAATTTAGAAATAATTTTTAAGCTTACTGAACTATAAAAGATATAAAATCACACTTTCAGACCAAAAGTGTATGCATATATGAGATATAACATGATTATTTAAACAGACCGCCTTAATTTCAAAATTTAAATTAATGTCGAATTATAATAGAATACAATTATACTGTAAATTAAACTTCACTAACTAATTGCATGAGCTCAAAATCGTTAGCAATATAAATGCTTGAAATTACTAATGAAATAAAACAGAAAAATTCATCTAAATTCAAAGATAAGTGTAAAAAAAAATGACAAAAAGAAAACGAAGCGATAAGTTACTTTTTGGACTTTCTTTCGTCAATTATATGCGATAAAATCGTAAATAATTAAGTTTGAAAAAAATTAAAAAATTGAAAATTTTAAAAATCAAATTGCATACCAATTATGTAGTTGGTCTTGAGCAGAATGCTTGCAGACGGTGGTTTGTTTTTTGGGTTCTATAAAGGGCGTTCCATGCGCTAATTTAATGCTATGATGCGCATTTGTAATTATTGTTTGAGGGGTTTGTCTTTGAGTTTTTCCTTTTTTTGTTTCATTTTAATATTGCTTTTAGTGAATTCAAAGGATGGATATTCGTGATGAACGTGAACCAGGTGAGTGTTCACGTACGCCATCACCGAGATCAGAGAATGCTCACATATATGCCAGAAGGGCGTCCAAGTGGAGAATGCAAAGGTATTTTTGTGAAAAATTTTTATTCCTTCGTGTTTATCTTATGTAAGATAGTGTATTCTAATATTTCATAACTTCCACTTTTTTATTTATTTCCTTTGTTCCTTATATTTTTGCCAATATCACATCATAATATCATGAAATCACTTCCTAGTACTTTCATTCTGGCCATTTTATGTTGAATTTAATTACTGAAGTGCTTATCATGGCTTATTATAACGTGTTATTACTTATCTGGCTAAACTGTGTCTACAGCTGTGATGCGTCGATCTGAGTTTTCATTCAAATGCGAAAAGTCATATGGTATTTAAGCTGTAGTAGTTATTATAATGCATACACATCTAGCTATCATATTTTTTGCGATATAAAATCATCGTCTGTGTGTACTGGAATTGAAATAGTCACATGGATTTGTTCGGTGAAACACTAATATCTTGTAGGCATGAAAATGCGAAGTTTCGGAAGAATGAATCCGTGATTGAGCTAATAGATTTGGTAGAAGATCAGGATGGAGATATCGAAGTGGTAAGCTGTCACAATGTTCAACCTTAGTTTCATTAGCATCACTCTTCCGAGTTTGTAAATATGTGTATGTTTACCTACTGATTTGCATTTTGCGTTTAGTATCTTGGTGATTTAACTTTTGAAATTTACAAGTTCAGGTGTCTGATGATGATGGGAATAGCGATGATCGTGAATTATTCGTTCTGGATACTGAAGGAGCAGAAATTGTTGAGATGGAAGAAGTGGAAAAAAGTCTTACTGAGGACACAGCAGAGGGATATGGTTCAAAAAAAGAAGGACGTAAAGTTTTGCTAAAAAGTTCGAAGACAAAAGGAAAAGACGAAGTTTTTGATGTGACTAGAATTCTGACGAATGATGCTGTTCTTCCATCGCCATCGGAGGAAAAGAAAGAAAGGTTCTTTTTTAGCATACATTATTATTGGTTTGCGCTTCATCGATAATCTTTACGGTTTAAAGTTGTATAATTTAAACTTATTTGTTTGTTTATAAGGAGTATAAGTTTATAAGCTTTCTAAAACTAAATTACCAGGTTGATGAAATATTCACTCACCATTCTTTATGTCTCATGTCATGTTTGCAAATAATTATTTTATGTTTGTATTGATCTTTTTTAATTTCTTTATGAGACGGAAGTTTTTTTGAAATTTCAGTGTGTTCAAAATAAGTTGCTTCAACTGTGGTGGTGAACATACGATACAGCAATGTGATATTCCCTTAAATCAGCGGAGAATCGCTGTCAATCGTGCTGCTCATTTTAATAATAAACGTTCAACTCAGGAACGTTATACAACAGCGGGTGATGCTGGATCAACAAGCACGTGTAATATGAGGTAAATTGGGAATGTTTCGTTTTAATGATAAACGTTCAGCGCGTGAACGTAATGATTTTGTTTCCTTTAAAAAATTTTCTTAAAAAATTCTTAATTGAATAAGTAAATGTTTAGGCCTGGAGAAATTAGTGATGCATTGCGTGAAGCTTTGGGCATAGGACCAAACGATATTCCAGAATGGATTTATCGAATGCGTCGAAAAGGTTTCATTGATGGCTATCCACCAGGATATTTGGCGGAGGTAGTTAAATTTGCATATTTTAAGCTGTTTTCAATAATTTTCTTATTACATTATGATTGATAAAGTTAGTGTATCTTGAAGCTAGTAGGTATTAAGAGGTTCAAGAACATATTAACATAAGTATAATTATGTTATACATTACTAAAATACGTTGATAAGATCTGTAGTTCCTGAAGAAAGGATGTATATTTTAAGGCTCTTGATCAAAGTTCTAGTGAGGAAGCATTGTTGGAATTTCACACTGATGATAAAACATTGGGAACTCCACGCATTGTGCGAGGTGCTTATTTCACTTGGGTCTGCTGATGGTAAAAAATACTAAAATTTTCATGCACTGTAATTTTGAGCTAATTTATAGTTTTTCTATTTATGTTTTCAGGAAAAGATAAGAAACGGAAACGACTTACGATTTCTGCGGATAAAGTGATTGCTTATCCCGGTTTTAACTATTATAATCGATATCTTAGAGATGTACGCCTTGATTAATTTACTTTACTTTAGTGAAGATTCATTTTCCATATGTTACTATCTTAGAGTATTCTTTTATTTTTCTAGACTAAACGGGATTATTCATGACTGTAACAATTATTAAAGACTAAATTATTGGAAGTAAGATTTTTTTTACAGCGTGAACGTTTTCGAGTACCTAGGTTTGATGAATACGTTCGGTACCTTCAGGAATATGCCAAGGAAATACGTGCGGTAAATACTGTGCTTTACTTCATTCTTTTAAGCAGAAATGAAATGGTCAAAGTTATCAGTTGAAGTGTTTGGATCCTAACTTTATTTTTTATTGCAGCAACGATTATTTAATGATAGCCATGAAAGAAATAGGAAACGGAGCAATTATAAGAATGAGCAGAAAAGTGGTCATAAGCGATTAAGAAATGGCATGACTTTCAGTCTTTTTTCTCTCTTTTTAATTATGACTTCTTCAGTTATTTGGATTTATTTTCATTCTAAACAATTATTACTTAAAGTTTTAAGACTCGGATGACAGCGTTATTTTGGTTAGTGATAAACCAGACGAAAATGTGGAAATGTCTACGGGATCATCAGAACAAACTGCATTAGAACAGAATATAGTAAACTTTTCATTTTGAAAATTTAATCCTCAGTGTTAAACATTATTTAAGCATCTGTGAGCAGTATCCACATTCGGATTTTTAACATGATGTGGATACTGCTCATAGTAATTTAACATTTGCTTGCAAACTTCAGGATTTATAGTTAAGTAAAGGAATTGCCACAATAAAATATGGATTTGCAGAAACATAACACATCGATTATTGACCTTGATGCTTCGACGTCTTTTACTGAAGTTTCGCTGTTAGTTGGTAGTAGCGATGATAAAATTTCGTTTGGAACGCCTGTAGTTCGTCGACTAGAGCATGTAATTTTTATTGCGAAGTTTCGAATGTTGGGATTCTTGTATGTATTATGAAGCCACGAGCAAATTTTTTCAGGATAAAAAGAAGCCAAGTTTAGATAAATTCCGAGACGGCGTTTTACCATTTGAAGCTGTTGAAGAAAGTACCGGAAATCGCGGTTTCTTCAGGGCTCTTATGTTAAAAATACGAAAAAAAAAAGTATGAATGATAATATTTGCAGGAAAGAGTTTGAGATTGTTAAGATTTTATTGTATTCGCATCCGTCTGTTAGTGCCCTACAGTTCATATATCTTTGTCACATCTCAGTTTCTATCCGATGTCAGTTAATATTGATTTACTAATACGGGTACCAAGTAATTTGTTTGTTGTAGAATGGAAAACTTGTGCTTGTTATTTTTGCAATGTTTTTATGAAAAATGTATCTTACGCTAATTCCCATGTAAGTTTACCTCTTTTTATCTACCGTTTTCCAAAATTTTTTCAGTGTGCCATATTTGTGGTTAACGAAATCCGTCAGAAGCGTTTTTTATATCAGTAACTGAAATCCAGAATTATTTGAATTTTTTTTTTCAGTGACTATTTATTGAAAAATAAGTCGGTAGGTTTTGTAATTTTAAAAATGATTCATCTTTACTGCAGTCCTATGATATGGAAATAAAACTTTGCTTTCTCACTTTGTATTATCTGAGTATCAAAAAAAAAGTTATCTCATTAGATCTTATTTCGAATTAGACCAAACAAAAGGTCATTCGGAATGAAGAGAGGGCTGGAAATTAGGGTTAAGAGGTTTATCAAGTGAGAAATTTTGCAAGGCTATAAATTACCCATCTTTTTCTTTCTTTTTATTTTTCATTTTCTGGGGAGGTAGTTCCGAGACTCGTGCTGCTTTAGGTTACGGTTAGTTATATTTTTAGAATACATTCCAGTTAAGTTTCAGTTTCAAAGCAGAATCTTGTATTGAGCTTTTACTGTTACTTTCAGAATGATCTGTTTTACAAATTAGAATGGAAGTAAATGATGAGCCTACTGGTGCTGTCAGTCTGCCTGGAGCTGCGAATCATAGAGTTTGTTAATAGTATCGTTACAATATCAAATTTTCAATGACACTTTTCAATAATAGTCAAGTGGAGTGGTATCATATTTGGCGTGTCACATGTCACATAGACATTCTTTTATACATATTGGCCGGAATTGCACTATCTTGGGGAGCATGGATTTTGGCTAAAATGGTTTTTATTCAAGTAGCAGAAATAACTGATTTTCATTTTTTGAGAAATTATTTTGCTTTAGGAGAAGAGTGTTGACGTCGACATTGATGCAAATATTTTTCTGGTAGATGAAACATCATCGGATGATTCAGATGAAATTGCTGTGTTTGACAGCCGTGATTTGAGTCTGTTAAGTAATGAAAGAAAAATGTTGTAGGTTTTTTGCTGGTGCTTTTTATCTAAGTTTTCTTGATATTACAGTTTTAAGCTAAAAGAATTATGTTTTTCTTTAATATTTCGCCGTAATTAGTAAGAATATAGATCGCATGCTTCAAAGTCTTATTTTAAATTAAGATCATATCCATTTTAATTAATGTTGCGATACGCAGAATCTAACGTATTACAAATTCATATTTGCTAAAGATTTCTGTGTCATATTATTCAAACCATATTGACTGAATTTGGATTACAGCAAATACTGAAATGATAATTTCATTATCTTTTCAGATGTGAGGAGAGGATGTGTAATCTATATAAAACATTTCGCTACAGCGGACCAGAATATAAAATACGGAGAACTGTTTATGGGTTTTCAACATTAGACATTGATTTCTTTGATCATATTCAAGAAAAAGTTAATTTTTGAGACCGATTTACAACAGTCAACTTATTTTTATTTGTTTAATATATTTTTGTAAAAATTATATATATATATATTTATTATTTAGTATATGTTTCAGTTTGTTGATAGCTTCGACTTTTGGTCCTTGGTGTTAATTCATTTTCACACCATTGAATAACTGAAATATAACTGAAAATTTATTTAATTCTAGATCACTCTTGATTTCGATGAAGAAAAGATCTCCAAAGCTATCACTGCATTTCATAATGATAAATTAGGAATAAAAGAAGGCGCTGCTAAAATGAACATATCAACATTCGATTTTATTGTTCTTTTAACAGATCATATTTGGAAAGGTTAAAAGTTTTTCCTATCGTCTCTAAAATATCATTTAACAAGTGCTCTGTGAATTCTCCGTGTGCTGGGATTGATAATATATTTAAAAAAAGAAAAACTTGATACGCATTGTCACTTGTATTAATTATTGTCATGTACTGGTTATTCAGTTTCTCCTGTTCTCCTAAAATAACTTCAAAAAATACAGGTTTCATTTTTATACATATCTTCATAAGCTTCATAAACTCGTATATCAATCACTGTCGAACTTTAAAGGAGGTAAGTTGTAGAACGTGATAAAACAGTGGAGAAGTACAGTATATCTCGGGTTGCTGGTTACATTGGTGTTGACCGCGCTCAAATGCTTATTCTCGGCAGTTTGATAAATAGTAATGTTACTTTAGCACCTTCAGAAATAGCTATTGTAAGTTTCAGAAATAATGATGAATTGATATGTTTCAGTAATGCTTTAACTATTTTTGCGGCTTTTATTTTCCTTTTGTATTTATTGCTGATTATATTTGTATTTATTACTGCTCTTACTATAGTGATTTATACCGATCATTTATAATTACTGTTTTATTTGTCACTGTTTGCTGAATAGTTATTAATCATTGTCAAAACTTATTTTCCAGAAAATTCTTTCTGATCCAGTTGAAGTAATTGTGATGTTGACAATGTTATTGGCGCAAATGTATGGTTGGCCTGTTGCTGAAGACTTCAGTCAGAACTGGAAATATGTCAGTTTTCTGGTACAGCTGAAAATAATTCACTAAGCTTAATTTGAAATCACCACATCTTTTGAATCTTGGTTTAGCAAAGTGATAATTTCAGAATCAGAAATGCTGAAAAGCTGAATACAGTTCCATAATATCAAAAATAAGTATGATAAGGTCTTGGTGGTTTTGATTGATGTAAATTTCAAAGATAATTAACACCAACAAATCCAAATTCAAGTTTTTTTTCCCCTTTTTGTCATAAATTTTTCATTTTAGATTGAAACATCATTTGTACCATCGGATGAAGAAGCCATACAATCTACGGATGATTTTGTAACTGTCGTACGCGAAGTATTGGAAGATTTCAAAAATGCCTGTACAAGTCCACCACGGTCGGATAAATTTTATTTTTCTAGCTATTCTTTTATCTCATATGAACCAGAACTGTTTGTTTATTGAACATGGCAACCGTACTGAATGCGATAGTCATAACAGTTATGATTTGAAAGACAGTCTGATCTTTTCCATTAGTCTCTCAAGACTTTTTATATTCGAAAAACCGGGTATTCATTAATTTTTCTAAACATCAAAAATTATCAAAAATGAATGTAAAAACTTTTTGATCTCTTCACTTTTTTTTCTTTCTTTTTTTTTTGTTTTTTTGTCACTTTTGTAATATTTTGAGCCAGTTTCAGCCGATGTGTAAATGATGATTGTACCAATGATTTAGTGATGATGTCAAACGAATTGACAAAATATACTAGCAATCTTCTCACTGAATTGGTAAAGTAGTTTTTTTTTTTTTTTTTTTTTTTAAATCTTTTTTTTAAAAACAATAATAATAAGGATAGTAATCATAATAGTACTAATAGTACTCTTCTAATTATAGCACTTCAATAAATCTGTTTTTTGTTTTGTTTCTTCTAACATATCTGTTAGAAACAAAAGTTCTTACTGTGAACACTTGAGGTTTTAACAACGACTGACATGATGAAACTTTTACTTGTACATTTTATTTGATTTTAGTCAACAAGAAGTCTATTTTAATAATAATATTTGAAATGAAGCCCATTATTTGAAAATTTTTCTGGCTCTATGAATTGTTGCGCAAACTTTTTTGACTTCATATTTCTAATTTATTATATAGATTTATTCTTGTTTGTACAAAGAAATAAGACTTTGCAGCAGAATTCGTCTGCACAAAGTGAAAAACAGCTGTTAGCAAATGAGCAGCGTGAAAATATGGCGGAAAAATCGATGATGGTTTCGCAAAAGAATAATCAGAATGTTCCGGTGAGTTGATTGGATTTTTTTTTTCTTTTTTTCCTTAGTATTTTAAATTCTGTGACTTTTTTTGCTTGTTGTTATTGTAATGTACTTAGTCGTCAAATCGTGAAATTATTAGATTTATATGTACTGTGGATATGGTTTAGTGAAGAAAGAATATATATTTGCTATGAGGAATACTATTTTGGGTAAGAGAGTCAATATTAAAAGTGGCACCAGCATGAATTAATTATTTTTTGCTTCGTTATTGATTTCTGGTTGTAATCAAATTTTTGTGTGACAATAAAATTCGTCATATAAAAAATTCTAGAATTGGTTTCAGGCTACAACTAGTGAAGAAGTTAGTGTTGTCAACGTGACACACAATGAAAGTATAGGAAGAAATTACGTCGTTACCAGTGACTTTGTCAATATCAGTGATATTCCGAACGGGTCTTTTTGTTTAGCTCGTCAGCAAAAAGCATATAATTTTGTTCGTTGCCAAGTTGTTGAAAAGGTAAAGGTTTGTATTATATTGAAATGCTTGATGGGTTTAATTAACCTGTTTTTTAATCGGTTGAATAGCTGTCGCCACTAATTTGTAACATAAATGGATTTATTTTAATAGTCATTTCAACAATTAATAATGATAAGCTGCTTCTTTATTATGATTTCAACTTTTCTTTGAATTTGAATGTTTAAACTTCAGTTGTATGTAGCAATCATTTCAGGTATCTCCTCGTGAATACAACGTCTTGTTTGGTGACGGTAATGAGGAAATAGTTGATATATCACGTATTGCACGTAAAATTGACGATCCTTTACATATGTGGGAAGGTGTACGCGTATGTGCTTTATATGAGCCAAAGTAATTTTCTGCTTTTCAGTTCTAAACTGACTTATTCCATTATTTCAAATTAAAATGTATTCCATGAAATATTGCCATTTCAGACTTCGGTTTAGTCGATATCGGAAGGCATTTTATTCGGGAATAGTGGGTGTAGGACCTCATGGATTTTCACAAAATGAAATGTTGGTAAGATTTTATGTAAAGAAATTGTAAAGACAATTTAAATCATAAAAACTAAATTTTTACCCTTTTTAAAAGCTATTTCTCAAGTCATTCTGTTGTGTCTTGCAGGTATTTTTTGATAATGGCATTGACAGTTTCGTTCATGAACGCACAGTCTATATTCTTGCAGAACAGAAGTGTAAGCTTTACAATGGCAAAGAAGTGAGTTTTCATTAAGAAGTGGGAAGCTAATTCTCCATGTGCAATTTTTATTTAATTTGCATCGTGCAGGTTAACGCATTTGTTTAGCTAATTTTCTGTACACTCCTCATATATATAATATATATATTTTATCATAGATTTTAATTTAAGCAACAGAAATAAATAGTAATTTTTACAGGAAATAGATCGTCGCAACAATTGGTGCCTAGTACCACAATTTCGACAAAAGTTTGTTAAACACTATTTGAAGAGTTTTCCGGATTGGCCACTTGTTCCGATGAAGCGTAAGGAAAATACGCAGCGTGTAAACGTAAGCGTATTAATTTGCCTGTCATTATTCATTTGTGTATTAGCAAAAAAATATCCAAACGAAATTTTCCTGTATGGAAAATCTTTTTCTTTCTTTTCAAAAAAAAAAGGAAAAATATCCACTGAGAAATGCTTTTGAAAAGCATTTTCTTTTCAAAACCCAGGAAAAAAAAAGAAAATTGAAACAACTTCGATGTTTAATTTAGAACTCTGAAAAATATTGCTTACAGATTCTTAGAGAAGGTAAACCCCATTCTGCATATGTTTTGCGAACCGAAAGGCAATTTGCATTATTGCGTTTTCCAATTCGTGGCAAATGTGGTTCAGACTGTGTGGTAACTCCATGCAATCGTCATAATCATATAGATGAATGGATTTATCGTGGCTCAGAAAGATTAGAAGCAATCCGTCAAACAATTGATGTAGTTTTAAATAATTTGTAGAATTAGAAGTGCTTTGAAGAATTTTAGTAAGACTTGAAAATTGCTAGTTGTCTCAGTGATGTACAAATTAACGATTACAGTTATTTCATATATCTAGAGACTGGAGAAAATCGAGCAACAAGAACAGATGGGAATTTCGATGGCTCCACTGCGTTCCAGACGGGAAGCACGATTGGCTCATAATTTGGAATATACAGTTTCACTACCTGAACAAAGTAGCTCAAATAAGAATTTAAGGTTTGAAGATTGGAACGTTTATTGAACGGAACTAAAATAGATTACGATGTTCCCCATATAAAATGAAGTGAATTACTTCTTTCATTATATTTTTACTCTTATAGTTGCTGTAAAAGTGCTTTTCATTTTCTAAAACATTATAGTATTTTCAGTAAGGAGATGGATCTTTGTCCACGTGGTCGAGCTTTATTGAGTGACAATGAACCGGTAAGAGTAGTAATTGTTAATTTCATGTTATTGTGTTTTTAAAATTTTGATTTTTTTTTTCTTTCAGAATTATCCGAGACCTCAGACAGCTCGAAAAGGAGGAATATCAGTCGTGCAGAATGATTATCAAGATTATCCAATTACTGAAGGAAGATTACCTCGCTTACGCAAAGAGGCATGCAATTATTTAATTTATTTTAATGGACCGTGGAAATAGTTTTTTAAATATATATGTGTATATGTAAAGTGATTTCAAAAAATGCATCTTATTTTCGAAAATCGATCTCATATATATAATTTATTCCGGTTTAAAATATATTCTTTTGTTGCAGAAGAACCTTATAATACAAGATATACCTGAATGGAATAATTTGCATCAAGTCGTTCACTCGCGATGTACGATTAAATGTTTACAGTGTCTTGACAGAGATCCATATGATAAAGAATTTTATGGATATTCTCCTTACATGATTCCTCTATTGGTGGGTTGGTCACGTGAGGTAGGTGTTGTATACTTTTAGCCTCAGAATTTTCATATTTGAATAAACAAAATTTGGAAAAGCAAAATTAAAAGAAATTTAAAATATTACTTTTCCTTTTTTATATCCTTGTTTGAAAAATTCATTTTTTTTTTTTTTTTTGAAACTTAAGATCAGAAATTTTTCGAGTATTTCGCGAATATTAGTAAATTCATTTCAAATCACTTTTAAATCTTATTCTTAGATTGTAACGTTCACGAGAAAGGTTAAAGTAGCCCACAGTCGTCAAGCGACTGGTTCAGCTGTGGTTTATCGTACACCATGTGGAATCTCTATTTATAAACTGGATCACATTACGAAATATTTGAAAGTATGATTTTTCTTATCATTGCAGAGTTTCACATTTTTATGAAATATTAATGTGTAAAATTTATTTGTTTGAAGGTCAGATTTTCCTTTTTTTTTTTTTAAGGATACATCTAGTCGCTTAACCATTGATTTGTTCACATTTGATCGAACAATTCGTCCGAATGTAATTTATCGAACACCGGTTAAAGCTAAACTAATGGATGACTTCACGAATGGTTATGAAGCCATCCCAATTCCTGTTTTTAATGAAATTGATGATGATTTACCACCAAAAGTAAATTTTTTTTTTTTTTGTTTTTAATTTCAGCGAAATGAATCTTGTCAGCTCAACTGCCTACTTCTTTCACTTTCATTCTCGTTGATTCCATCTTCATGTAAAATTAAGTCATCAATGAGGAAAAGATCTAAATTCATAATTTTTGAATGTATATCTTTCCCACTGTGTGCGTGATTTTTTATCATTTTCTTTTTTTTAGATATTAAAGCTTGTATAGTTTTAGAGGTATATTTGATATTCCAATTTTTTTCCAGATTGAATATAATCCACAACGATATCCATACGATAGGTCGACAGACATATCATCTATATCACTTGATTTTTGCAGCGGTTGCACTTGTACTGGTTGGTATTTTGTAGTGTGTTTTTTTTCATAAATGGATGAAAAATTTTTCATCATAAGAAAAGTGCCTCTAACTGTCATGATTTGAATTTCATGGAAATTTCCATTACTTTTTTTAACTAGATGACTGTGTTGATGAGACCAGGTGTGAATGCCGTTTATTAACCCGTTCAGAAGTATTACGTCTGGATAAAAGTCTTCAGCCTTCACATGCCAAAGGATATATGTGAGTTTTTCTATATGAAAAAAAGTACTACTATTTCATTTTTTTTTGTAAAACTCTGATAACTGTTCAGTCTTCATTTTACTGTTTATTTTTAATGTCAGTGTAAATTTCAATTCATTTTACAAAATATCACTTTATACGCTTTTTTTGAAACATCTATTTGGACTTTTAAAATTATAAATGATTTTGTTGTAATACCTGCTATTGTAAAAATTTACGGTTAAGTTAAACAATGAAGTTAAAAGTTTTTTTTTTTTTAGGTATCGTAATTTGGCACTTGGAGGTACCGATGAGTCATATTTATCTGGTTTATATGAATGTAATGACAAGTGTAGATGCAGTCGGAGTAAATGTCATAATCGAGTGGTGCAACAACAAATGAAAATTCCTGTTGAGGTTATTCCGCCGGTTATCTATTAATTTAGCTCAAAATAATTATTAGTTACTGGATTGTAATATTCAGAGTTTTATAATACAGCTTGATCAGCATTTCGTTATCGACTGTAATTACTAAACAAATAAGATATAACTTTCTCTTTGTTAACGATCTGAGAAATGTAAGTGGCTGTAATATATGTTACTTTCAGTGAGAAAAATAATGTATACTTGATAAAAAAGTTGGGGAATCAATTGAAAAAAGATCAGTTGAGAAAGATAGATAAAGTGTTTTTAAAGATACACAATTATAAACAGATTTAACAAGACGAAAAGTATAATCAAGACATTGCAGAATGAGATTACAAAATGTCTTATTGGTTCCAATCTTCGAGAATTTTTCTTTTAGTTGGTTGCTTTAGTTTTAATTCTACTACCCATACTTATTTTTACAGTTGTTTAAAACAGAAAAAATGGGTTGGGGTGTTCGATCGATGATTGATATTCCAGCAGGTGTTTTCTTATGCACTTACGCTGGTGCTATTCTTACAGATAGCCAAGCAGAAAAGGAAGGGAAAGCGGTAAGTCTTTTTTTGAATTCTTTATTTTTGGTTTCTCATTGTTATGTGGCAAGTAGCAGAGCAACTGTTATATTTCTATATCTTTCAGTACATAGTCAAAACTTCGCTATTTTTTAATATCTTTATCTGTCATTAAAACATTATCAATGGAAGAGTCGTTAGTGAAGCGTATAAATATATGAATTGAAGTTTGTAAGGAACTTTTTAATTATTTTTTCTATTCTTTGAATAGAAATTTTGTAGTTTGGTGATGAATATTTTGCTGATGTAAATTTGGTGGATAACGTTGAAAATGAAAAACACAATGCTGGTGTGGATTTGGGAGATTCAAATGACGGTTATTATTCAGACGACGAAAATAATTGTGGTAAGATTCAACATTTTGAATCAGTTTTTAGGATTTTGGGATAAATTATGGGAAATGTTTAATAACCTATTAGATTTTTTTCTTAAGGTGGTGGTGGAGCTAATTTATCAGCCGAAGGAGAACTGATTACAAGTGATCAAGATTCATGTAAGGAAGACGACGATTATGATAGGTCAGGATAATCACTTATTTCTTTGTTGTTTTTATTGTAGCATAAATAAGATTGTAGTTATTACTATCTAAATTAGGAATATCTGTTACTGAAATCTGACCGTTTTTCTAATTTTGAGATTTATAATCTTCTTTACTGATTTTAAACTGTATGTTTCAGTGGTCAGGATTCGTCATTCTCTTCAGAAGGAAGTCATTCGGAAAGCAAAGCTACTAAAACTCAGAAACATCGAAGACTTGCACAAGAAAGTAATGATGAAGAACAGGATCTTTCAACAAGGGAATTAGTAAGTTTCATTGGCTTTCTTTTAAGATTTTTTGTGCAAAAATGCTTTATTTGTTATTTTGGCTCGAATTTTGAAATTTCTATGAATTGTTTTCAGAAAAAGAATGAATTAGCAGCAGCAGATTTGGATTATGCTCGTTCATCACTTGTTATGGTGGAATCAGATGTCTTTACAAGTGGAACGAAATTAGACAGTGATGATATGCCAGCAGTTGAACCAGCAGGTAGCGACTCGATTTTTTTATTAGTTTCATAATTTTTGTAGATTCGACATTTCTAAATACGCAACAGTGTAATCAATTCATTTCCTGAAAATTTTGTTGATTTTTTATCTGTGTAAAAATTTTGACTAGGTCCACCGGAAGGTCGTTTCGATATGTTAAAATATGTTGAAAACATGGAGCTTCCATCACTATACATAATTGATGCTAAGAAAAAGGGTAACATTGGACGATTTTTTAATCATAGTTGTCAACCGAACATTCGTTCCCAGTTGGTATATGTTGACACTCATGATTTTCGTCTACCTTGGATTGCATTTTTCACGACAACAAAGATTTCAGCTGGTTCAGTATGTTAACTTCTGTTTGATTATTCAAATTGATTTTTGAGAAATAAAATTTAAATTGTGTGAATAAAGCTGCTTCTTCATCATTAATTTTCTATTGAGACGTTTAAAAAGAAAATAAATTTTTCATACAACCATTTTTTCATTGTTACTGTAGTTTTCGTATGTAACGAACAAACTGTTTATTTCAGTGATTGTAATTAATTAAGGAATAGTTGAATATAGCATTCACAATCGCAGAATTTTAATCGAAAAGCAAAGTGAGACTTTTATGTAGACTAAAGCGCTTTCGTACCTTTATTTTCAGGAACTTTTTTGGGATTATGGTTATTTGGAAGGTGCCGTAGATGGAAAGCGACTTGAATGCTTTTGCGGTTCACGTTTTTGTCGCAAGCGACTTCTCTAAACTTTTTACCATCTGATGAAATTATATCTGAACAACTTTGATCTGAAGATCCGAACTTCTTTTCGTATTCAAATTTTCGATTTTTAAAATTATTTGTTATAAATAAACAGTTCAAGCTGCATGCTGAATACATTTTATTCAATTGTCCACAGTCAATATATTTCTGCAGTTTGGAATAGCATTTTGACCTATACTGAAGTATATGAAACCCTTACTTTTTCCTTGATGTTCATACTATGGATAAATTGATTTTCTATATTTTTCGGAAGCTTTGAAGTGCTCTATGTATATTGAAATTTTCAGAAATGAACGGCAGTAAAAGCGCTTTATCCAAATTTGCATAACTGAACTGTATTGCCTTCGAATTCGGAAAAAATTCATCGACAGAGGAAGAAAAAATAGGCTCTACCAAAACATAATCCAAGTTTTTTAACAGCCGAAGTTTTTAGCTTTTTTTTTTTTTTTTGGTCTGGAAAATTTGGTGATATAAAGAGGCAAGATTTTGGAGAAGAAATAGTGGATATTTTTTGGTCGAATAAATGAGAGATTATTATATTGAAGAAATTCATAGATGATGAGCAATCTTGCAGGAAATACTTTTTTTACAATATTCTTCAACGTCTTGTACCATCTTCGAAAAAGACACCACCATCTAAAGCACAGTATTTTGGGCAAATACCGCGTTCGCCTTGTGGACCAGGATGTCCTGGTGGTCCTGGTTGTCCATCCTCACCTGGTTGACCTGGTTGGCCGGGTGGTCCTGGTGGTCCTTGCATTCCTTGCGCACCTTCCGATCCTGGACGTCCTGCTGGACCCTGTTCACCGGGCAATCCTTGTGGTCCCTACAATGATCGTTTCATATAATTATACTTCAGATTCAACCTTGATGGTCAAGTTTTTCTGAGTCAAAAATTTCCTAGGAAAATTGAGGAAAATTCAATGGCACTTACAACTTCACCGGGTGCACCTGGATCACCTGGTGTTGCTGGTGAACTTATAGCTGCTCGTCCTGGATCTCCTCTTGGACCTTCGCGTCCTGGCTCTCCTGGTGGTCCGGGTTGTCCTGGAGGACCTTGTGGTCCCGGTGGTCCATCATTACCATTCCGGCCCGGATAGCCCGGTGGACCAGCATTTCCTGCAGTCAGCTTAAGAATATTAAAACAATTACGTTTTAAATATTAATTTACTACTCTATATCCAAGTTTAAGTTGAATTAATTAACTTTCCTGAAAATAGGAAGGAAGAGTTAAGGAAAGAGGAAGATGAAACCTGGATCGCCTGGAGCTCCTGGCGGTCCCGGTTCTCCTGGTGGGCACGGTGAGCATGGTGGTTCAACGGCTTGTTCACAAATTCTAAAATCGATAATTGCTGATCATCTAGCATTGAAAGCCTTCAACTCATTTTTTGAATAATACTTTCAGCACTTTCGGGTGAATATGAACGCAAATGAGTAAAGAAAAGCTAACGCTGGAGGTCTTCCGGGAAATCCTGGGCCTCCAGGTGCACCCGGGCGCCCGGGAATACCATTTTTGCCTGGAAGACCATCTGGCCCAGGAATTCCTGGTAAGCAACAACCTGGAAATAATAAAATTAGCTTTGAATAAATAAATAAATTTTCCAAACCATAATTTTGAATAATCCTTAATTTCGAATTCGAAACTACAAAAAGTGGATTTAAAGTTGAAAAACTGGGAATTAAATCTTTAAACATTCAAAGTATGGTGAATGGAATTTCAAGCTTGCAGTATTACGTAAACTTAAATTTTAAAAATTTAAGTGAACCTGCACAACGACTGTTTTCTCTCTTAGCACGACTAATAACAGCGGTTTGATTATGTAAAAATTTTTGAAATGCTGGTGTGGCATCTCGCGGTCCTGATCGATACTCATTTACTTCCATCATTACATCGCGTACTGATAGCTGCAAAAATTGATCTTGCAATTTTGATTCGAATTTATCATTCCAGTCTTACTACAAATTATATTTATCATCTTGTGATAATTTCATCCATAAAATCAAATTCAATTATTTTACTAATAGATCTTGAAGAGATAGATTGTCCCAATAAATCAATTAAACAATTTATTCTGCAACAAACAATTTATGTTTACGTTGAGGAGATGTTTTACATTAGATAAATATAGAACTTAAACCAAACAGTTCGAATAAATGATTAATTCCTTCTTTACATCGAGATTTTAGTGATAATTTAATCTTTTGTAATACCTGTAAATATTGTTTCCATCAATCAACAAGCAAATAATTTTTGGTTAACCTTTAGCACCCATCATTTGTGTCATACATTTCTTACTTCGAAACTTAGATATTCATAAGGGAATATATTTGTTTATTTATTTATTCATTTACTTATTTATCATTTCGATAGTATTACGAAGAAATTTATCACTATCATAAAGTTTATTAATAACTGAGAGTTGTGATAGTATAAAGTATAAAATGAATTATTTATTGAACTTATGCACCTAATAAACTTATTTCAAAATATACCATATGCAATTCTTAATATCTCATTTAATATTGTATTTCATTAAATTTTCATTTCATCAAATGATTGTTCTACAATTAGACAAATATTTTTGTACTAATTTTTAACAAAATTAAAACTGATTCATATTTAATTTTTTCTTCGATTCACATTTAAATTTTTTCCTTAAAAACTATAAGTAATGGTAATTCTGTATTGATGGTATTGTCAGCATCATTATCTTTACTACTATTGTGACAGTAATTGTTACATTAAATCTTAAGCGTAAATAATTATCTGACTGCTTAAACACGTAAGTGTGACTAAGTGAATTTGATGACACGTAAGTACGACTAAGTCTATCTCATCTTATCATTGTGTACTTTTTTTCTTTTTGTGGACGTGAAGCATTAATTAATACTTGTGATCATTTTTATAAATCATAATTGGAATAAGAGTTATAACTGATAATGGACGCAAGTGATAATCATTAACAATTTCAGTGGAACTGGTTATCAGCACTTCTGCACTCATTCAAAACGGAACAATCCGCTCTTCTTATCTCAATGAAATATGTCAATCATCACAACTAAATATTTATCATATTTGTTTGTTTATTTCTCTACTCATATATTTATCTATCTTAGTCTCTTTGAATTTTTCAAAATATACTACATTATTCTTATTAAGAGAAATTTAAAATTATACTTTATAAAATCCCTAATTTATTTGTAGTATTTCGTATAACTTAATCCTTTTAAGAAAGAGAAATTTATAGTCTTTTTAAACATTTCTGTTCAATTTTCTTTGATGGATAAATGGATGTTATGAGAGAGAGAGAGAGAGAGAGAGGAAAAAATGAAAGATTATGGGAGAAACAAATAAACAAAATTTAAAAAAAAAAGAAATTAATTATTGCTGGAGCATTTCTGGATGTATTCTCTTCGTTATCAAAATGTTTGTTAAAAGAGAATATTAAAAAAAAAAAAAAATTCAGCAACAAATTAACAAAATGAATCTTTTTTTTTTTGCTAAAAGTTTTTTTCAGTGGAATGGAAAAGTTGCAAAGATTTGATGAAATGAAAAGATATAATAAATAATGGGTCAAGAAAAAAATATGAAATATGAAAGAATAAAAAATGATTTTTATAGATTTATAAAACATTATATCTTTGAATTTTGATTTGTATCAATTTCAAAAACATCACTAAAAAATGCGACATTCATTAAAATAAGACTATTGTTTGATTTCCAAACTGATAATTTTGAATTTTTTTTTAGTCTTACAAAAGAAGAAGAATGAATTTAAATTGGATATTTCTGATTTCTAAACTTGATAATTTTAAAGTTTTTTTGGTCCTACAGAAGAAAAAGAATGAATTTAAATTGGATATTTCTCATTTCTATACTTGATAATTTTAAAGTTTTTTTAGCCTTACAAAAGAAGCATTTAAATTGTTCCCTATAGACGAATCATATCATAACATCATCAAATAGTCTGTCCATATTTTGAATATTTTTCGTTTTTATAATTTACTTTCATAATAAATAAGCACTGAAATGGTATATGAAATTATAAAGCTGCGCAATTGTCATTAGCTTAAAATTTTATATTATGCTTTAAAGAGGATTGCATCTGATAACTTAATATAGATAACTTTTTATAACTAAAGAATAGCAAAAAATGAAACAGAATGATAAGTTAAATTTTCAAAGAAAAATATTACCTTACAAAATTCCATTTCTGATTGTACTCGCATATGTATCGAATTGACATAATTGTTAACCATTGGCAGAGTAATGAAAACGGCTAGAATTGCCACAAATGAAAATGTCACCGCCGAAAATGTCACCAGTCGATAGGCTTTTTCACGTATTTCTGATTCGATTAACATGATGGCAGGCTAAAACCAAATTTTTGAATCAACGATTTCAGAATCCAAAATCAAACGATCTGATCGATTCTGTTATTATAAAAGAGCTTATTACAATGATCGCTAAATTAATAAACGAATTTTGCAGTAGTTTAATAATAAAAGATTTAAATTATGCAAATGCTTGATAATTAACCAACATTCCATGATGAACTTATTGTATTTGTATGGATATATTTGTATGTGTGAGTATGTGTATGTATGTATGTATGTGTGTGTGTGTGTGTGTGTGTGTGTGTGTATGTGTGTATGTGTAATAAGATGAGCACTAATGAAAGCAGTAGCAATTTATATATTGAAATCAAAAGAAGGTTGACTGTCCTGTAGGAGGGTATTGTATAGAGTTTTCTTCTTTTTTGTTTTGTTTTGTTTCTTTTTTTTTTTTTTTTTTTTTTTTTGGAGGAAGAATGAACTCCGCCCTGAGGGTTTATGGAGAGGAATAAAGGAAGGAAAATGAATGGAAGCAGGGAAAAGGAGGACTACGGAATATCTGAATATATTAATCCTTTCTGTTCATTTCCCCCGGCACTTATACCCTTCACTACTATTAATATCATTGAGAGAGAGAGAGAGAGGTGTACGATAGCAATAACAATGACATTCGTCTTTTACCCGCCCAATTCTTTTGCTAGTTTACCCGTAATATCCTCATTCTTTCATATGCATTCAATTAATCTAGAAGAATTATCATAGCAAACAATCTGTTATAGTATACCTTTCAGCAAATCAAATTAATCATTCTTTATTTCTACTGACTCTCTTTCTCTCTTACTTATTCTTAAGGTAACAATGGGAAAAGGTCATACTCTTTCTTTAGAATTAGCTAGTAAGAATTATGGAGTCATCTCAAAATTTCCCTGTACAATCATATATGCATGCATCTTTCCAGGATTATTACTTGCAATCAGTGATGTGATCTGATATATCTGTCCAGTTCAAATATCATTTTATAGATCAGTCCCTAACTGTACTCTTTGATCCAGTTATCCTTATTACTAATAAATTTATTCTACATAATAGATGAAGTAATAATCCTGAAGCTATAACATTGTTAGGAAATCAGAATCAAATTAATTAATAACGAATCAAACTAACTGCAAATGAATCTAAACTGCACTATTAACACATATCCTTTTTCGACTTCATGATTCAAAGTCAATGTATTTTAAATGTCGCTTATAATTTGAATTTAATTAGCAATTATTTTAAAAATCTTAAATCATTTACTTTCTCTATTTGATCACCCAACATACAGTTTGCCGAATAAATATTATAAGATGAAATATGTATGAAGTATGAACAATAATGATAAAATGTGCCAATTATAAATTTAAACGACAAATGGAATAAATTTCTTAATTCTTCTGGATCATTTAGGTCTGTTTTCTAGTCCAGTGATTTTCTCTATTCACAATTTTAGAACTTTTATAAGTACAAGATCTGGTTTTCCAGGGGCTCATTTCTGTCTGTTATTGATGAGAGGAAGAAAAAAAAAATTCGTCGAATTCTTTTTTTTCCATGAGAATAATATTTCTTTTTTTTAAATTAAGACAGATTGCCATCAATAGATTGCATATTTATTTATTTTTTTCTTTAGATTTCTCCTTGTTTACCATAATTCACATAATTACTGCCCGCGGGTACAAAAATTTCATTACAGTCGTGATTTTACAATCCTTTAACTTTTTTCACAGAATTTAATCCTTTTATCTTCAGTTAATTTAATCTTTCCCTAGTTTTATTATCAATAATGAACCATATTTCAATCATATTTTCAGTAATTACTACGTTCCACTTTTCATTTCATCTTTAAAATACATATTTGAATTGCAAAGTTAAATTAAGAATTATAATACCTGACTTGTGAATTTCAGTCTCAACACAAATTTTACACCAAAAAGAAATATGCAACTTGGATTTCGTAACTTTCACTTTAATTCAACTTTATAAGTGTAATGTAAAACCCAGTATGTCTATCTCTCATTTCAATTTCAAGTACATCCATAAAATCTGGAAACTATTGAATTTCAATAAAATTGTTCAAAGTGTACGATTATTTCTTTGCAGCAGCACAAAAATTTCAGGAAAAATGGAATAGACTTTTTCAAAGAAAATTTCAATCAAAGAAATGGTTAAGTGAAAAGTTATCAGCAAGTTTCTGCAAACTCTTCCAATACCCTGCATTATTTTTTTTTTTTTTCAAAAGTTAAAATTTGCTCAATGTTTATTGAATGGACAAAAAATGCATTTGAATAAAGTGCGCAAATGTTGAATGCAAGAAGAATGTGAAATGTCGCATTAGTACTGATGACAGAATAGCATGCAAAAAAAAAAAATTGCAAATTTTCTTCAAATTATTTATTTGCTTGACTTATTTCTTTTTCATAACTATTACTTTCTTTTTTTCTGTCTCATCATTTCAAATGATTCTTTTTTTGAAAACAACTTTGAATTGACTATAAAGTTATATAAGCAATGGTTGAAAATAACTGCACAAAGCGATAGAAAAAGAAATTTTGTTGTATTTCGTTGGAAATTCCAAATAAATGATGATGAAAACCAATGCACTGTATAATCAATCAATCCTAAAATAGTTGAAGATTTTTTATTATTTCAGGACGAAAGCAAAACAAAGTAAAAGATTGCGTTTGTTTAAAATTATAGCATAATAATGAAATCTGAATGAATTTCAAATAATTTAGAAAAAAATGTGTCACAATCTTGCTTACTTAACGCCGTGTTCCATCCTCAAAGAAGACACCGCCATCCAAAGCGCAATATTTGGGACAAATACCTTGTTCACCTGATTGTCCAGGGTGACCTGGCTGTCCTGGTTCGCCTATCTCTCCCGGGCTACCTTGCTGTCCAGGTGGGCCAGGTAAACCACGAGGACCAGGACTTCCTGGCCGTCCTGGATTTCCCGGCGGTCCAATGTCGCCAGGTTCTCCTGCTGGTCCCTGGAAAATATTTAGGATCCGAATTGATTTTGTCAACTGGAAGCAAAAAATTGCAAGTTGGCATCATTCAAACCACGAATCAATTGCACTAACTTGTGCTCCTGCTGGTCCTGGATCACCAGGCATCGATGGTGTAGTGATAACTGAGCGACCTGGTTCACCAGGTGATCCATCAACACCTGGGTTTCCATCAGGTCCAGGCGGCCCTGGTGGTCCTGGCGGTCCTGTACGACCGGGATTTCCGCTACGGCCCGGTGGTCCTGGTGGTCCAGATGGTCCTGTATTAAAAAATTTTATGAATGCAGTATCATTTGTTTTATTAATCATATTTCGTTTCTTTCTGTCCATTTACAATTCTGAGATTGGGAACACTTATTGAACAACTAAAAAGATGATTTATTCTGAATTTCTTCTGGGTTTGAAACTGGTTTTTATTTAATATTCATCGATGTGATGCGATATATCAATCTTTTAACAAATATGAAAAATGCTACTGAATTTTTAAAAAAAAATCTTTTTACAAAAAAAGAAACAAAAACTGAGCAAAATTCATCGCCTTTTGCAAACATATTATGAATGCTTAGACAAAATGCAATGCATGTCATCGTTTATTATCGCAATAAATTATCATAAATATTATCAGAAGTGAAAGGTTAACCATAATTACTATTTTGTTTTTTTTTAAAAAGCTTTTTGTTAACTTATGAAAAAGAGAAATGTATTGGATATATACAAAACTGCAATACTTTAATTTGAAAAATTATCTTTGTTTATTAGCGAAAAAAGTAATAAAAAAGATAGTTAAATATTTCGAAATAATTAATGGGAATTTTAGGAATAAAAGATGACGTAAATAAAGAGTAAATTTTTTTTTTTTTTTTTTGAGAAAAGATTTAATAGATGAAGTGGTCAGATGAAGAATGGAAAGAAAATGTTCCGGTGGCATGACCGTTTCTATTCATACCTATATGTGTATGTCTGTATGTATGTATATAAATATTATGTGTATGTATTATTTTCAGTGATTTTCATGAACAAGAGGAAATTGAAGAATTAAAATAAACTTGTTTTGATTAAATTTATATTCAAGTGATAATAAATCTCAGTCCTACAGAAAATTATAGGAAATTATTGAAAATATCATTTCATAATTTTTATTGCTGAATAAATGATTTACAGAATTCAAGATTTCTAATTCACGAGGTATTTATTTGAGTGATAATTTTTAGGTATAATAATTTATCCTATCTTCTAAGTTCATTAATCAGCGGTAGCAAATAGCAAGAAATTCATATACCACATCTTTGGTATATTCATGTGCATTTATTTCGTTTTTTTGATTCAGTTTCTGAAATTTTCTCGAAATTTTGAGGAAATGTAAGCAAACCTTTATCTCCGCTTGGTCCCGGCTGTCCTGGAGGCCCCGGTGGACATGGTTTACAGGGTGGTGGTTCTAGTTCCTCACATATTCTGCAAATTTTGAATAATGCAAGACTTATCGAATTCAATAAGTGCTAATAACACGGAAAAAAACATTTTTTTTTTTAAAGGTTACTTAAATTCTTTTGACAAAGTAATGATAAAACATTATTTTGCAACTCGAAATATTTCATTTAGGAGTTTCCAGCTACCAAAACCCAGTATTCGAAATTAAAATAATAAAATTAGAAAACATGAGTAAAAAATAAGTAACCTTGGTGGTCTTCCTGGAAAACCGGGTGCGCCTGGTGCTCCTGGTCGTCCTGGTGACCCTGGTTTTCCTGGTGGGCCATCAGGTCCTGGTAATCCAGGCAAGCAGCACTCTGAAATTAATTGAAAATATTAGAAAATAAATGAATAAAGAGTTTTAAAAACAAATCCTGACAAATTGTACCAAGTTAAAGTTTCATGAATTATGACAAACCTTCACATCCAGCTTGCCTCTTAGCTCTAGTAAAGTTGAATGCATTTTCAGCATTCTCGTCAACAGCATGCAATGTATCAGATGGTGCACGGTGTTCACGT